GGGGAAAAAAAAAAAAAAAAAAAAAAACGACGGATTGCGGCGACGTCGGTTGACGGGAATAATAATATTATAATAGACCTAAATACCGAAATCGGCGATAACGCCGGCGTACTTCGCATAATACCACAACGTTTTACAATATTGCGTTACGAGGAATAAAAAAAATAAAAAAAAAAAAAATCGCTCGAGCATGCGCAGTTCCGCCGGCCAAGGACACGCGCGTTCGAGAACGGGTTGCGTAATAATATTACGTAAATAACGCGCGCGCCGCCGCCGCCGCCGCCGCCGCGCATTAACAGCGGGCCCGAGTGGTCGAAAGGGCGACTACGGAATTCGACGTACGCACGGGCGCGACGCCGAATCGAAACGCGTCCCGGCCCGTTTCCCGTTTCCCGTTTCGTCGCCGCCACCGTTATTGTTTACCCACGTTGCACCGGCAGCAACGTTGCGCGTTGCAACGACGAACGGAGTGGCGGTCCCGCCGGGAAAACCGACGGGCGCGGGCGACGGCCGCACGGCGTACACCGCGCGCGAAAAACCGCGTCTTTTATTGTCTTTCCGGTCCGTACCAAAAGCGCCGCGTTCGCGTCCCGGCGCGCGAATTTCCCATTTTTCCGCGGGCGTTTTCGTGCGCGCGCGAAAAACCGACGAATGTCCAGCGCACGTTTTTACGTTCATAACGCCGCATTTGTGTTTCTGTTGTCTTTTCGAACAAACCACGCCGTTTTCGTTGCCGCGACGTCGGCCGAAAAAACAAACGCTCTGGCGCGCGAACGGACAAAAGTTTCGTTACAAAGCCGCCGTGACGCAAAACTCGCGGGGAAAAAATAAATAATAATCGACACCGTCCAATATCCAACGTTGGCGAAAAAAACGATCGACGCGAAAACTTTTCCATTAATCTCGTATTGTGCCCGTACAGCGTACGCGAGTTAACGTTGCCCTCGTATCCGCGTCGTAATCTGTTTGTGGGGAGGGAGGGGGTGGGGGGGTTTGCGGGCGGAACGGCCGTGCCGCGTTTCGATATCGAAACGGGTCGCCTGAAAACGCGCACGAGCGCGCGACCTTCGTTCGCGCGGTACATCGGCGGCGCAAACGGGCCGGCCGATATTCCGAAACGGTTACGCGCGTCGTTTCGCACACGGGACGCGGGCAAAGTGTTTGTACGGGAACGGCGGTCGCGGCACGATAACGGCGCCGCGGGTTGGCAGACCTGCGGCGCGGCACCGTCGCGGACGTTTCCACGCATCGCGCGCCGCAGATGCGTTGGGTACGCGCGTCATATTATTATTACTGCAAGCCGTACACGGTGTAAAAATATTGCGCGCGGAGCGGCGAAAAAAAAAAAAAACCGGTTACGCCGCGTATTCTCCTCGCCTCGCCGCTGGCGGGGTTTTTTTTTTTTTTTTCCCAATACCATTTTTTGCCGGACGAAAAACCGCGCGGCGGCGTAGGAGGACGGGCCGACGTCATCGCCCGCGCGATACGACGAGGGCCCCCCTCCCCCCGAACATCGTTACGGTGCGTGTACGGCGGACGACGCTATACGCGCGCCGAAAAAAAAATACGATGGCGGCGGACAGAAAAAAAAAAAAAAATTACACCGCACCTCGATAACACATTAACGATACCTGACGAACGCAGCGCGTCCGTAACAAAATACGATCCGACGCGCCTAAAACACGCGTGTATTGAGTTGCGAATCGTTACCACGCCGTCCGGGCTAATGGCCGCCGCCCCGTATTTCCCGTGCTTGTGCGTAGTGCGAGCAAGTTGCGCGGCCTAATACTCGACGGCGGATTTCAGATTCTAAGCGTGTGTTCGGTTGCACAGTGACGTTTATAGTTGTGTTTGTTTGTCTGCGGCGAACGGCTTTTCCATCAGCAATCATCATGCTACGATTTCGAACATTTTTTCTGAAACGAAATCCGACTGGAGTGACGCTTTAGGGAGGTCGTTGTTTGATTTCCCTCCCCCCCCCCGGGAATAAATAGGGGAAAACCGTGAAAAACGTAAGGAAAACGGGAAAATGTGCACAATATTAAACAAATATCGTTGAATAAAATATGAAATGCGCGCGTAATCGTTCTACCATTAATACGGCACACGTTATACCGTTGATGAAGCAACAATATTAACCGAACTCTGCTCAGAATCATTTTTCGTTGGCAATGTTCCGATAGTTCTGAGTAGAGCTCGCAGTGCCGGCGTTATAATTGCAAAAGTCTGCGGACGGACGAGATTAAAAAAAAATCGCGATAATAGGTATACCGTAATGAAATACCGACAAAAAAATCCAAATAAATATTATTAATTTTATCGACTTTAACTCGGTACAGTGTAAATTACCGAGTTTTGGAGAGGGGTGTCACTTGCCCCCTGTGAGTTGAGTCGACCGGTTGTTTTTTGACGCTATAATATTAAACTACGACAAAAGCAGATTCTTCCGCGTGTAACCAGAAATCAATAAAAAAAACCCGGCCAAAATTCAAGTATATATAAAAAACGATCGCAATAATAATGTATAGAAATATGAAAATCGTTTTAAAAACCCGTCTTCGAAATTTTTATAGTAGGACACACGCATCGCCTGTTCCGCCTATAAGTTCAAAACGTCAATCTAATCTCTATTAAACATACGTCCATATATTAAAAGGTGATGCTGTAGATTTGCGTCTAGGGTTTTTTTTTCTCAAAAATATCTCTGAAAAAGTGTCGGGAATCCGTCTGTACGTACGTGTATAGAGAGTAATTGTTTTTCCCAACCGAAATTTCGGCGAGCACCTAATGCGTGTATAAGGTATCGATATCAGCCGGAATAATATTATCCCGTCAGCAAGACAACGCCGCACATAAAACACGGCCGCCGCCGGCGTAAAACGCGGCAGTGATGGCGGCAATTCGGCGGTCTCGCTGACGCGCCCGCGGCATATTTGGCCGCGCGATACACCCTGCGTGTCACGAATATTAGGATTTGGACGTTGCGGCGTCCCAATGAAAATTACTGAAAATACGACCGAAATCGGTGTAACGTACACATTCGCGCGGTGATAACGTCGCGTACGTCCGTATCCGCGGAACGTTTTAAACATTAAATAAACATCAACAATACGGTGTTTTCGTGTGTAAACGCCGTCGACGGCATTTTACGGCGTTATCGTTATTGCCGCGACGGGATTAGAACGCGATTAGACGCGGACGAAATAGAATACCGTAACGATACGTTATAAATTATAAATCGAATCTGGGCGCTCTCCGTTTAACCGCTCGACCTTCTTCTACGCGGTCTAGTGTAATTATAATTCATAGAGTTTATTATTATTATTGTTAAGCGGATTGAAAACAGTGGGTGCGTGGTTTATACGGGTGTCCACGCGCGACGTTAAACGACGAGTATTAATTTTAAAACCGAACCCTCGGCCGCTGTACCGCGTCCGCTTATTTACGTTCAAGGTTCGAGTTTATCGGTGTACAGAGCGCGTCCGGGGGATTCGACGGTCCGCCGCGTGTAAGCAAACGCGCCGCGTACTATCGGAAAACGCTACGGGATTCCGCGCGTACGCCCCGTACACACAACTAGCGCGATATCATTACCGCATTAGTGTTATTGTTTCGCGATCGATTTGTGTTTTGATTGTTGATTTCGATTCAGTTGCACGCGTTGCACCGCGCAATCCTGTTACACGAATACCGGGGGAATATGTAACGCACGCGTCGCGCTATATAATACGCGGCGTGATACCCGCCCGTTGCTCAATCCGCGGTCTCGGTTCAACTGCAGCGCGGCGAAGTCACGCGAATTACGGAGCATTTGTTTTGTTTTTTTTTTTTTTTCGAAAGGTTTTCCGCGTTCAAACGACCGCGCGTCACACAGTGTACAGTCCGTTGGGCGCCGGTAAAGTTCGCTTTTAGAAAACAAACGATTCTAAATGCGATTCGATTAGTAGGTTTAAATAATATCACGTTTTATAAAGGAAAACTGGAAAAGTACTCTCGCCGTTGTAGCGAGGGGTAACTGGCGATGTCCAAAAGTCAAGGAGAAGGTTTGATCTATCTGCTCGTCAAGTTTTTTCAAGGGTCCAATTAACATTGACAAAGACAAAAATGACCCGGTGATTAGGTATTAAAACCGCAGTGGAACGTTGTAGAAAATTGTCAAACACCATAGACACATCTATTTAAAAAACAAAAAAAAAACCGTGCCATGGCTGTAACTCATTATTACGTTGTTTGGTAATATTTTTGGGAAAAAAAAGCAACCCGAAAATATTCTTCTCTTTAAATTTTGTCACCCGTGTTTTTAACTTTGACTGTAACCGTTTAAACGGCACATTACTATAAAAATTCTAAATCACGTAATTTTGCGATGTTGCCCGTTTCGGTAAAACTCGATTGAGCATAGAATATTTTACGCCACGTTGCCACATTCAAACCGGAATTTTGTAATTTATTATTTTCGTGTAAATATTACACGCCGAGACACGTTGCACGTTGAGCTCTGCGGCTTTACCAACAACGTTATCGTGATAAAACAATACAAATTTTAGTTTTCTCTGCGCACCTAAAGAAGATAATTTCGCACGTTTAATTTCGGAACAAAATCTGCAATTCATGACGCATCATTGTATACTGAGCGTTCCGGCGACGTAACATATTCAATTGTGTTCCAAAATATTTTGTTCGATTAAATAACTGTACACAATACTGTACATGCAAACCGAAAATTAATTCAATTTTCAAAAATGCCATTAAATCACAATGAAATTGATAAACTAGAATTAAAAATCAAAAAGTATTAAAAATGTAAAAATACAAAGTCGTTACTTTTACATTTGCGGCAAATTGTAAAATGTAACAATTTTTAATTTTTTTTTTTTTTTTTCAATTCATTACCGTACTATTATTATCGTCGACAAGTCAACAATATATCGTTGCATATGACCATGCAATTATTTTTATTCGTGTATTGATTTTTTCAATTCTAACAATATTCGTATTAATAATATTGTGTTTTATAAAGTACAATCGAATATTGTTTAACGTGGAAAATGGCTGCGTCGCAGTATTTTTTATGCTCATTCGTAAGCTTTTCTTTTGTATTTCTATATTTCTACATAATTGATACGTCAACAAAATATGCTTAAAAAAAGGACTTTTATGCTCAATTGTGCAGTTACAGCCGCCCGTTTGCTAGTCGGACTACCGCGCGTCGGGACAGTGATATTGTAGTTATCGTCCCATCAAGTAAAATTTTGTTTCGAGATTTTTTTTTTTTTTTTTCTATTCTTTAGTTTAACGATCTTGAACTGGATTGAAAAATACTTATCACGTACCGTAAGAACGACAAGGTGTCTTTTTCCCTCCGTTTTTCAATGTCAATGTTTTATTATTATTTTTTTTTTTTAATGCGCGTATTGAATTTCACAACTAAATTTATAATATATACACTATATACAGTGTATAACATAATAAAAATATCAAATTTAAAAACGCTTATAGTGATACTTAATAGTTTTATGTAAATAAATATATTGTACATACTATATACCTATAGTAATGATTTCATAATATTTTTATAGTTATATAAAAACGACTCGCATCGTGTGTAACTATATACGAGCCAACTAAAGTGCAGGTTGGTATACCACATACCACCTATACCTGATTCCTAATATGTAAAAAAAAAAAGACGTCCTAGGATAATGGAGACGGGTGCAGCCACTGTTGTAGATAATTTAATGTATACCTGTATGCGACAATAAACCATTGCTTACCAAAAAAACGATTCTGAGCGGAGTTCAGACGACAGTGACGCTTTGTCAACAATATATATGTCATTTTATATTAAAATAATTAAATAGGCTTTATATATTTTCTTTGATAATATTTGTTTTGTGGTGTACCGATTTTCCCAGTTTCCCCATGTTTTATCCCGATTTTTCACGTTTGCTGGAAAAACTGCGGAGAAAATCAAAAAATGAATTCTTTAAAGTACCTCGCTAGTGAAATTTCCTTTTAGAAACATTTCTATCGTTAAAAGTTGAAGAAAAATTGCTGATAGAAAATTTTTGCACAGGAAAAAATAGTAATATTATACAAATATATTTCGTACATTTTTCAATTTTTTTTCTGTTTTTCGCATTTGATGAGAAAACTCTTGAGAAAATTGGAAAATTAATTCTTCTAAGTACCTCCCTACGTCGATTTTTTTTTAGGAAAAGTGCTACATGCAGAAATCTTAGTAATTCTTCTGGTAGAAAAGTTGCACATAGATTAAAAAAAAAAAATAAACATCTTGTAAAACTATAAACTTTGTCGCTCCACTTAGAATCTAAAACTCAATGAACGCCATTATACCTGTTTTATTTCACAAAACAAAAGCTATATAATATCCAAAGACTTAGCAATAAAAAATACAAAAAGTTAAAATGTATAAATTAATCGTATACAATACTAGCGGTATTACCTACCCGGCTTCGCCCGTGGACAGTTTTGTAACGTAAAATATTTTTATTGTTTTATATTTCACTCAGTTTTTTTTTCTTTTATACATGTTTTCCACCTTTAAATTTGTTTTCATTTCATCCGTATTACTGTGGTGATCCATAACAATAAAATCCATCCGTGTTACCAGGGCTGGCACGTTACGATTTCTGAGGCCCTGGGTAAATTTATTTTTGTGGCTTATTTTTTAGCACATACCACTCCTTTCACCTAATAATTGTAATAATACCCTACACTTGGCCATGGCCGGAAATACTGTTAAATAAGACAATGCGCGTGTACGTATTTTTCCAAAAAAACATCGCGACATTTCTAAAAATCTATTATTCCAGTCTTACGCCCATTATAATTATGCTACCCTTTTTTTACGGGTCTACAAGCGCGGGGCCTCCGAAAGCGCGAGGCCCTGGACGTAATCCCCACTTGTCTTACCCTAACACCGTCCCTGCGTGTTACCGTGGTAGCTCATGCAAATACATAAATAATACCTTTATATACTTTTATGTGCGTGTTTGCCGATTGTTTCAAAAATTAACAACTCGATTGTTAATACGTAATGGCGATACATTTTTTTTTTTTTATTAATCAATTCGTTTAAACGCGATATTTTTTTTTTTTAAATCCTTTCTCACTGCGCATTTAGAGTGTTAGAGGAACGGCCATTTCAAATTTAAAGTTTCGCAGGTTGTGTAGTTTTTGAGACATGACGATCAGTGAACGAATGGTATTCGGCTTTTATATAAATAATATAAATTGAACCATTCGCGTTTACTTTTGGCTCGTATATTTTATTTGTTCTGTTACAACACAATATTTACAACAACGCCTATAACATCTATAATATCAGTATCATATTTTCACAACGTATTCCGGAAAGTGTCCGTAATTAATAACATTTATGTGGGTATGCCTGCTCGGTTTTTTTGTTTTTTTTTTTTTTGGAGAATATTATTAACATTTAACATGTACGTGAATTCCAATCGCCTACAACCGACTACAATCGATAATGAATTTCCGCGCAGCATAATGTTATACGTGTACCTTGCTTTCATCGCACTCGATATTCAGCTTCAAATTGAAAACTTACATAATAGCACGACGGCACACTATATGTGCAATTTCTGTACACCCATTATTTAAATCGTACAGGAATTATAGATATTTTTTTTTATTTTTTTTTTCTTTCGGCTCTGATCGAGGTACGGTACCCATTAACCCGTCCCTAATAAATACGCCTCAGACCTACACGTCTGTATTTCGATATCCGTTTAAATAATATACATATATTTATATATGTATATTTTTTATTGTACCTATCGGATAATATTTGTTTATCATTGTTTTAAAGAAAACAGAAATACGATTCGACTAACAGTGCATTATATAATGTTTATATATCGAGTAATGGTTTTATTTGTAAAGTTTTGTAATAGCCAGCGCGGATTGTTTCTCGTCGATTTTATTAGTATAACGGAAGGTGTACACGCTTTTCATTGCATATTAACAAAAACAGTGTGAAGCGGAGCAAAAAAATTGTTAACCGACGAAATTGTAACACCGTACATCAAATTCATTGGAAACGAAATTCGTTGATAAATTATCGTCGCGAATAATTTACATCAGAAACCCGTATTTAAAATATTATCTATATTACATTTCTCGTCATCTTGTTAATTAATAATGAAGAGTAATTGAAACTTATTGAACCCATAATAGGACCGGTGATGAAATAGGGTATTCACGGTTGCTAGCTGTTCGAGATAAAATGTCGCGAACCGTTTGTACGACGACTGAACATTCCGCGATTTTGAAAAACGGAATTTTTCCGAAATTCAAGCTCTGAAGTCAATTCAATGTACGGATTATTGCGAACCAATTATAAATCTATGTTTAATCATTTTCGCTGTAACAGTAACAGTTTACAAAAAAAAAAAAAATTACTGATTTTAAGTTAACGAGTTCAAATTTACTGAGTTAACAATATTCATTAACTCGCTCAGCCTTATCTTAGTATAATTATAAACAACGTATGGATTTTTTTTATTATCGTATATACAGTTATATTATTTTCATATAATCGCATAATTTATTGTAAAGTAGTTTTGAGGTATCTACCAATAAGTATTAACGGTTGAAAAAATATCCATTGGTAAATGTTATTTGAATGATAACGTACGTACAGAGTGTACCTGCAGGATCTGATAATTTCCTAAATGCATTTATACCATCGTAAATAGGAAATTGTCAATACCCGTAAATACATCCTGTACGTGTTATTTTTTGTTTTTAAATTTATTCATTCACGTGACTACGTATGATAATTATTATGCTTATATTCATTCAAATGAGTCATGTTCGAATTTATGTTGCATCTGCCTCCGGTGACCAAAAAAAAAAAAAATATTAAAAAATATACAATCTTATATTTTTCGAAGATACCCCAAAACTACTATAATATGATATCGTAAAAAAAAAAAAAAAAAATGTAAAACCATAATACAATGTCATCATAGCATTAAATGTATACTTAAAATATTATCGACCATCTGTTATATACCTATATGTACACACATCACTGCGTGTACATTATAATATCTTACACGTCACTTATTTACATATTTTAAAAACGGCGTAGTCGATGTAGGAAATACGAGTTATTATTTAAAATTCAAAACCCATAAATTTGTCGACCGCCTAATATAATATATAACTTGCCCTTTAAAACGTTCGAATCGGCTTTTGTGTCGGATTTTTTTTGTGATCTATGTGTTGTATTAGTATTATAAAGCGCTCAATTTGCAACGTAAAAATACGATAACCGATTTACACCTCTCAATTGTATTCCGTTCCGCTCCCATTGACCAATAGAAAAAATTTAAAAACCTATATTTGAAATTCGTTTGACGTTTCAGAAATTACACTATGTAAGGTTAGGTTAATTGAAATATATATATATATATAGATATAGTTGACGAAAAAAAAAACAACTAACACGATAGACAAATTAAAAAGTTTAAAAAAAAAAACTGCGTCCACGATAATTTATTAAATATGTAAACTATAAATGAACGATCTATGTTGATTTTTTTTTTTTTATAATATAAAGAAGTCTAAGGTAAAAAAAAAAAAAATTTTTTTTAATGGAATTCTTCTATTAGCTGTGTCTCATAAATAAGATACAGCATTCGCGTGGGCAAAGGCTGCATTATATTGGACGTATAATATTCTCATCGGATTTTTAATTTAATTCCTATACTTTTTTATACGACAAAGAATAATATTTATTGTCTTTGAATTATTATTAAACAGCCATATTATTGCAGCATACGACACCTTTATAATATTTATACCTTGGGGAAAATAACAATTCTAACTATTAATTTTTTTGTTTTGAAACTGACTATTGTTAAGTTTTCGAAATTTAATATCAAATAACGCAAAAAACGTAATTTCTTTCGCATATATATGTATGTTTTTTTCACTCTATTTTATAAGCAATCTCGTCGCATATATAATATTATACAGATACGGCTAAATATTATGCTTTTAATAGGATGTCGAAAGAAAAACGAGGCGTTTTTTTTTTTTTTTATGGTCCGGATACTAGGTGTATCTAAATCTATATAATATGCATACCTAAAAAAAAAAAAAATAAAATAAAAAGATTACTTTTTATTTAAAAATATAAGAAAAAAAAAATACTATCAAACCCACGATTTCATATAACATTATAATAGGCGAATAATAATTAATTGATAATAATTTGATGTACAGGCAGCTTTTGTAATACTATTATAATATATTACACGCGCGCGTAGGTAATGAAAAATTCTAAAGGTGTCCTACAGGCCACTGCGAATTAAAAACAGAAAACAATAATATGATAATATTGTAAACTGTGCTATAATTTATACGTTAACCTGCTGCGGTGTGAAATACATTTTCGAATAAACTGTATTTCGAGTTTACATTGTAGTGCAAAATAACAAAAAAAAAAAAAAAAATCGTTTTCCCTTTGCTCGACATAAACTTACGGATATATTTAATGGAGGCAGGGAAGGCGGTCTAAACAAATTCAATCGCAGACCTGTAGGGATGTGCTAATTTTAACACGAATCAGGAAATATTTCAACCGGGTTTGAAATGCCTGGCTTAAGTTTGAAATGCCTGGCTTAAAAGTCTTAGGAATAGGTTCAAACTCCTTCATGTACGCACGACAGAATACTCTTTGAACGAAAAACATGCTATGCCGTGCGATCGCAAAACGGAAAAGAGGCGCTTAATCACCGTATACTAGAAAAAAAATCATAAATCGAATTCAATTTTTTTGAAGTTTGAATTTCTAAATAGGTATAATATATTTGTACGACTATATAGTAAAATTAGTAAAATTAATAATTCTCTACAAAAATAATTTAATATATTGTTGGAAACGCGTTATTCGTTTCGGGCGACGATGCGATTTTTTAAATATATACCTATTTAATACACAATATATATAGGTGCATATATACAATACCGCTCGCACGTAAACTCGATTCATTCATGACGTCTATACGCACATATGGGTTTTTTGTCCGGCACTCGCAATTTATAATATATTGCGCCTGTTGTGTCATATATATATAGGTGTACTTGTCCTAACTCGTGTAAAAAATGAAAACATAAAAAAAAAGTCAGAAGAACGCATACACACACACACACACACACACACACACACACACACGTGTTTAATGACCTAGCTAATATTGTGAGCTGTATATTCGACGAAAATAACCGTCGTGCAAACAGATCTACACGTAGCTGCATAATGTATAATAATATAATAGTCGGCAATTATTCTTATGCGCTACAGTCGTAAAAAAAAAAAAAAAAATAAAAATTCCTCTCTACAATATACCGACATCTGCGCTTTGCGCGGTGACAGCCGTAACAAAACAATAGGCCGTCGTTACAATAATTTACTGTTCGTAACGTGTAAACATAATAATTACATCGTTTTATTAACTGAAGTGGGCAACACGTTTACATGCAAGTTTGCCGTTGGAGATCGCGCTGCAGCTTTATGGCGATAATAATAGCCACGGGAATTAAATCGTATTCAAGTTACGCAGCAGTCGCCGTCGATTTTCACAATAATATACCATCTAAAAATGTCGATAGCGACAGCGAAAAGCAAACGGCAAACATAAACAAACTAACGGGATTTATACATTTTCCGATATATAACAACGTCGAGTTTTCATTGTCGTGACGCAAATCCGGCCCTAAACAAATACAATCCAAACAACCGTAATTTTCTGACAAAATTCAAACCTGTGTATAATATATAATGTAAACGACTACTTATATAGTTAATATTAGATAGGTTCAGCATACCGAAATCCATCGCAAGCTCGCCAAACATTTTCAGTGGTGACGCGTGAGTGATGGCTATTGGGTATCCTATATGAAGCAGCTGTGCCCCATATGATCAGATTAGGCGGATATGAACTCGATGGGTGTTTACGTGACACTTTAGGTGTGTAATAAAAAAGACGTCCTCCTAAGATAACGGGATCGGGTACAGCCATTGTTATAGACAATTTAATGTATACCCGTGATCGACGATAGACCGTTGCTTACGAAAAAAACGATTCTAAGCGAAGTTCAGTTGACAGTCATTGTATAGTAAAATAATTAAATAGACTTTATAAATTTTCTTTAATAATATTTGTTTAATGCTGTGCCGATTTTCTCAATTTTCCTGCGTTTTTCCCGCTTATCCCACGTTTTATCCCGATTTTTCACATTTGCTGGGAAAACCCCAGAGAAAATTGAAAAATGGCCTCTAAAAGTTTAAAGAGGAAGAAAATTAAAAAAAAAAAAATAATAATAATAATATATATTTCTTTTTTAAACATGCATACATAAATATAATACGCTTTACTAAGTGTGTATTTATATAAATAAATACAAAACTGTTTTGTGCGTACGGCAACATCTGCAGGATATGTATAATATAATCTAAAAATATATACATAGCTCAGTGAAGAAGAGTTAATTTTATATTTTTCATATAGGAGGGAACATTGTATAATATATCCTCCTATTGGAGGCATCGTAGGAACCTCCAAGCGGTGTCCCTGGCTGGTGACGGCGATAATAGCAATTGGCGTACGGTCTACGGAAAGTAACGGATTCCCGTCGGCCAATCCTGTACCAAACACGGTTAGTGTAACAAAAGGCCCTTTCAGAGCCAATAAGCCTAACGACGGTGTCGATAAATATCGAAGGACCAGTACCTGGATATGTTAATTTAAATTGAATTTTCAAGTATATTTTCATTTTGTATATGTACTACCAAAAAAAAAACTGTTGCAGCTAGGTAATGTATAAAAGGTATTTGAATAAATATAATAGTGCGTTTATGTAAGGATTCGTCGTTTTTAAATCGAGACCCGCGGAGAAAAACGTTACAATATTTTATAAAATATCAATTCTATATGGTAAAAAAGGAAACCTTTTATAAAATCGAAAAATATTCAAATAGAATTAACTTTAAAAGTGTGCAGACATAACATTATATAATAATTGAAAACGGAAAAATGCCATCGCAGGATTTATTAAATTGGCACGTTTATATTCGGTGCAAGATTTAAATACATATTTCAGGGGGAAAATGTGCGCGTTTTCTTTTGTACAAAAATAATAATTTTCAAAAGATTTAATAATATATTCATCGTTTGAGTACGGGTCGAGTATAAAAAATAAATATCACCTGTGGAAAAAACTATTTTCTCTATTCTAGTTTCCATTCTACTTGGTTGAATCGTGAATTTTGACAGATGAAAATCGCACAAAAATATCTAACACCAACGAATAATATTAATACTAATTACACGTTTTTTTTTTTTTGACGTTTTAGACCAACGGTCGCAACCCGGGGGTCGCGACTCCTGAGTGGGTCGTGAAATTTTAACAGGCGGGGGGTCGCCAATATTTGTACACCAAACATGAGAGTTATGTATAGACATTATTTTATTTAACGTAATATTTCTTATACCGCCGGTGGCCATATCAATCGTAATATCTTAATACTACGACAGTAAGTTCTATTGAATCACGCAGTATCTGTGCTATTTGTCAATTTAATCGGAAATTATTACGTCATTTCGCTTCAACTTATTTATGCGAAACGCCATTTTCAACACTAGCGATAATAAAACAAGTTAAATGTCGAAGCGGATTTAAAAGTGGCAGTCTCAAATATCAAACCCCACTTAAATCCAATCACGCCTGCAATTCGAGTACAAGGGTATCATTAAATCGTGTAATTTTATAATTTTAAATTATTCAAATGTTGATTAGTTATAACTGTAACGATTTCGGTAATTTTTTTTTTGTTATGTTTTAGAATCGAAAATTTGGATAAATTAAATTGAAAAAATGTTTGAATCGCCTAAAATTAACGATTTAATTTATACGACCACAACTATTGTATACTTTAAGTAAATATATATATATATATATTATACACTTATGTAATGTTAGTGGGAAGGGGGATCGTCCCATCGATATAAATTAATTTGGTGGTCGCGGATCAAAAAGAGTTTTACACCATAAAACATATATTTTACCGCCTAGTAAAACTTACGATGAGCCTTGTATCAAAAGAAATGTGCACCTATACTCGGTATTTTAAAATTTACAAAAACTAATTACAAATAACAGCACAAAGTCAAATAAAATCAACAAATATCAGTTATAATGATAACAGCAAGTCAGCACCTATCCACGTTTTCTATTTCTGACAGTGCAATATTTAATATGTATTATTATTGTCTATCCGTGTACAATAAACTCTCGTCCTCTTTTAATTTTCAAAATATTTCACTCGTCACTTACAAGCTTTATGAGCGCCATCGCCGGGGTACGCTACACCTAGGATATATGGTCCGATTTCAATTTCTACTCGTATATTTAAATTAGGTTTTTACGCCGCAGCCGTACGTGCAGATACGGCTGAAAATAGCGGCGAAATGGCACATTTCCGATCGGTCGTGACAATAATTTGCGCCGCTGGTTTTGATATTAGGGTGATAACAGCGGATCTATTCACTCTAATAATTAAACCAGCTAGCAGCGTAAATTATCGTCCCCGTCGAACGAAAATTTGCCGCGCGGTGCGCGTTTATGTGAAACGGAAGCAGCGCGCGCGGCGTCCTCTACATAATAATATATGTTTTGTAGGAAATTTTATTTTTCGTTTTTTTTTTTTTTTTTTCAGAGTAAACTCATTACAGTAAGTAACGAAATAAATCGCAGCGCCTAATTTATAAAATATATGTATTTTTTTTAGAAAAAAAAACAAAAAAAACCCGTTCGTCCGCAACGTATAAAAAAATTTACTTGATAAAAAAAAAAAAAAACAAAACAAAACCAACCGTGCGTACCCGGTAAACAATCGCCACGATGGCCCGACGCGCCAACCGCGTGTGCACGATAATAATGGCCGTGTATTCGTACCGAACCGTACGCGCGGTGTAACGATAATGGTTTGAACCCCGAAAACTTCGCACGGCACGCAATACGAGTGAATACAGTGACAATATAATAGCCCGCAGGATGCACGCGGCCGCGAACGCCCGAAAACGGGGAGAATAAAAAAATAAATAAAAACAATCGTGCGTGTCTAAACGCACACGCACGCGCACGTGTACACGCATGTGTATACAATACTAATACGCACCTACGCGTGTACGCATATACATATATATATGTATGTATGTATGTATGTATGTATACGTACACGGTACACACGTACTTTCGCCGTTAAACGCGTAAGGGACACAACGGCCGTACACGCCCATTTCGGCCGGGATATTATAGACATTACGTGAACGTGCACGCGCGTACACGTACGCGTGTATTTTTACAGCCGCCATGTTGGATTTCCGTTTCGGCCGACAGCGGATTAATCGCACCCTGGCCATCACAGATATCATTACCCCCCCCCCCTCCCATACACATACGCGCACACACACCCCTCCCCCCTCCTTCTACCGCGCCGAACAACCCCTCCCTCCTCTTCCCCCCCCGAACGACCCGCCTATCGTTTGTATTATATAGTAATTCCACCACCAGAATCCGTCGTAATAATATTATTGTCTGCACGCACGCGGCAAGCGTCAATAGCACTGTCGACTGTACCCGAAATATAATTATAATATTTTATACCGAAATCGTTTCCGTTGTCTGCGATTCGGAAGGGACCGTTTTCGTACAACGCGCGGAAAATTATTATTTTACGTTCGCGAAAACCCGCCAGGAATAGAATGAAAACCGTTCAAATATTCAGTATCATGCGCTGAAGTGACCGGAAAAAAATCCACCATATTTTACGATGCATAATGGGTGTAAAGAAACCAAAGCTGCTAAATCATTTTCGCTATACGTATAGGGGGGGGAGGAAAATACCCAATATTTGTAAAACTACAGTATACATGATTTCTTTACGGTATTACACCCGGAAGTCTGAACGAATATTGCAAGGACGGGTTGTAAGTTTTTATAGACGAATTATCAAACTGACTAATTTAGTTTTGAACAGTTTATAACGAAAAATGCACATTAGTCGTCGTTACATTAAGGAAATACACTGTTGGAAATGGGTGTTTCCATTTAAAAAAAATGCAAGTTTTATTGCGCATGCGCGCACTGAAAGGTTAAGAAATTTAATAATCCGTGCAAAATGTGTACTTCAGTATTTCTTATCTTCTCTTGAAAATCCCAATTCAATCCGAGATCACTGAACAGAAATATTTCATGTTACCATTTGAATGAAACACACTGTATATGTCATATTGTATAGCAATATAATTAAATAGTCTTTATGCATTTTCTTTACTAATATTTGTTTTACCGATTTACTATCATTTCTAAATTGGAGCAAAATTGCCGATAGAAAATTTGTCCACAGAAAAAAAATTAAATAAACGTCTTTGTAAAACCAATAAGCTTCTTCGCTCCACTGAGAATCTAAAATGTGTTTTTTATTTACCATTTGATAGATAATAAAATTACGGTACATACACTATTATTAAATTTCGCATTACGGGCGGTAATTGTATGTACTTTAGGTAGGTATAAGTAACGATATATATCATTACGATCATAAAACGATTATGAGCGTATATCGGTAAACTAGCACTACCGAACATATTACCTGGTAATTATCAATACTAGTGGTACGCAATAAGGCGTTTTGGTAAATTAGTGTACGAGTCGTATATTTTACCTTTTACAGCAAAAGGTCACCCAGTAATCAACAAATGTAAAACCAATATGTCAGCTATTTACAGTTTTTAGAAAAAAGCGTTGGGAATCCGGATCATTTTTTTTTTTTTTTTTTTTAAATTAACGTATGAATGGGTGAAAATTTTACATCTTTCAAGGCATACAACACTATTATCAATGTAATTAAGAACATTTTTACTAACCGAAAAAACGTTTTTCTAAAGAAAAAAAAGGAAATCTTCACAGACCTTGGTAAAACAATAATAAGAGATACTTCTTCGGCATACGGTGTACACTCGTAGTATAAATGTTGAACGCCAACCGTGTAATAACGTCGGACATTTTTCCGTATAAAGCGTTAAAATTAAAAAACGTTGACGAAACTAAATGTCGTCTAAAAATCACGAAAAACTGTAAATTCTCATTTCGTGTACCCTACTCATATAAAAATACACACCGATTTTAGTTCAACATACGATATGATCGAGTATAACTATAATATAAATTATCAAACAACAGCTTACGGTTGAAAAACGCGCGAACAGTTGTACACCCGCACAATATTTACTATCCCATATAAAGACGGGCAAGTACAATATACGTCTATAACATCGGTGTCAACAGTACACGTATAATATACACATATATATATATATATATGACATAATCAAACCGTAAAATGCAATTTAATCGGTCCAAAACGCACTGCTATTAATCCCGTGGTGCACCGGTGCTCGGTTAAAATAAAACCTCGAGTCTGGAAAACGCGAACGTACGGTCAATTACTTTAGATAATAAAAAAAAATTATCAAATTTAAACTAAAAATTATTTTATCTCTTAAGAACACCACAGATCTGTTTGTACGGGGGGGGGGGTCCTATCTAACTTTTTCAATTTCTAATCCAATCTCTTCGGACGAGCTGACGATACGACCTTTTTCGTTGTAATAGGTGATAACATAAATCACCTGTAAAACGAAAATTTTTTTCGATTCAGATTTATACCGCTGCAGTAAAATTATAGCCGATGTCAACTAAAACGGTATCATATTTTATTACGAACAAATAACGGTTAGATAAATTTGTTTCTGATACTTGCGTATTATATATGCAGTTGTAAAAGTTCTTAACAAAAAAAATAAAATAAATATTGTATTATTAACGTTATGATACGAGTAATTTAAACGCCGTGACCTGCAGTTATGATGACTGTACCGATTCGTTCACGCCTCGTGGTTACATAATAAATGCAGTTTTAGTTTAGCCTCTGTAAGGCTGTCAGCGAAAAAACGGTTCACGACTATCCGAACAAATTATTACAATGTTCGCTTCTCTGATACAATAACACTCAGGCGAGTCGATAACAACGCGGCATATCGGCTGCGTGCGATGTTATCCGATGCATGGCGTTTGTACGCCCATTTCGCTGTAAATGTTTAAAAGACACATACATACCACCACCACGGGTACTCGTACCGCCGTCTCGCAAAAAAAAAAAAACAAATTCTATCCAATTCGAGTAATCATCCGACACCTACGGTTATCGGAACGCTTACAATTATTGTGCGCAGTGGAATCGTGCGTCCTTAAATAATGCTGCAACAGTTGTATGCGGACGCGCGATTTATGATCGACGCGCCGTTTCAATAAAACGTCGTTATGCGTGTACCGGGGCGGCATGCATGCGCGAGTATGCGATTAAATCATTGCCAACTGTTATTTATTTCATTGCTAACGAAAACGTAACTTTTTTACAAATACGTTTTACGCGGAAAAATAGAAAAATTCACTTCGTCTCGTAATTTCCGAACCCGACCCGTTTTCGATTCCGATCGTCGAAACATTGCGTGTGTGCCCCCCGGAAACCGTTCAATCAACCAATGTTCGGGAAACGGCGGGGAACGCGCGTTATCCTTCCTTGTCTGTCGTCATCATAAAACCGACGGTTTTTTTTTTTTTGTACGCAACTCGTGCGTCACGTTCGCGTACTGCTGTGCGAGACCCGTGCAGCCGTCGACTACAAACACGCGCGTACACCGCGTTAGTTTAATCGAACGCGGCTAATCAGCCTCCGATACCGGGCGGTCGGTCGGAAAAAACCGGCGATTACATTTTTGAAAAACCCGTACCCCCGTCGTGGCCCGTCCCTCCGGGCGCGCTCGCCGGACCGGCCGCCGGCGCACGCAACCCGATTGTTGATTGGTGTGCGCGTACAGAACGCCCGACCGTTACGCGGCGGCCGTAACGTTCGCGGAATCCGCACCGCCGATCGACAAACGCGATACGACACGGTAGCGACGACGCGAGTGCGCCGACGGCCGTTCGTATTGACGCCGCGTCGGCGAGATTTTCGCGCCCGTAATACCGCGGGAGCCGCCGCGCGTACGCGTAACGGCGCTTTTGTAACCGCGTGCCCCGGCGGGGACAGCGGACGTCAGCAGTGCGGGTCTGCGCGAGTGTCGCCGCGGGTAATGAGACGTGTCTGTGTGTGACCGGTCGGCCCGTCCGGGGGACGTCGGGTTTCGCGATCGGACGGACCGAGAGGAACCGGCGCGGAGGAAACGCGAAGCCGTTCGCGAGGAGTGCCGTGTCGTTACGCGGCGCTGTTGCGCGAAACCCGTGGACGAAATGCGCCCTGTTTTTTTTTTTTTTTCTCAGATTGCCTGCGCGCATCGCGCCGCGTCGTCTCTGCGCCGTACGACCGCATTTATCGTCGTAGACGATACTGTAGAATACGCGTTTTATACGCGGGGGGGGAGGAGGCAGGGGCGGGCTTTGGAGCCTATACGAGCCGGCTGCGGGTTTTGCGCGCCCCGTACACGGCGGACGGTGTTGTTTGCATTACCGCGGCTAGTAACACAAATAAACGCGCGTATTATCGGAGGCGCCCGGTACCGCCGTCGTAATGTTGTAACCGTACCGCCCGTATACGTATATATATACATATAAATACACATAAATCTCCCGTCGACGCCCCGGTATCGAAACGCTTACGGAATCGAATTTTCGAAAGGCCGCCGGGTCGCACAGACACAGAATCGAGCGGCGGATTTCCGAGGCGTCTGAAAGCGGTCGAAAGTCGAAACGCGCGCCACGGACGCGTACGTTTGAATTGCGCGCTCGCGATTATTGCGGACGCGCGTCCGCGTTTTATCGTATTACACGGCGGGAGCGGAACGCGAGCCGAAGCCTGCCGATGTGACGAAACCTCAAGGACGGGACTTGGGTACTGTTGTTAGCGCCTCGCGGTTGCGCACTGTTCGCGCGGCTTGTAGAAAACGGACGCGGCGGCTACCGGGGGGGGGGACGGTAGCGGGAAAACCGCGTCCGTCGAGGTTTACGAAAACAATGTGTTACAGTGGAAAACATAACGGCGTCCGTACCGTCCGTTTTATTGCGCGCGTCGCAATTACGTCTGTATAAGACGGACGGACGGACGGGGGGGAGGGGGGTTATTTCAAAATAAATATTGCGATACGTTCGCGTACGGGGCCGGGTCGAACTCCCGCGGGCTCGGGAACGCCGGAGGCCCCTCCCCCCCCCCGAAAAGGGCGGGGTGGTGGTTTTTATATTTGTCGCCACGGATTTACAGATATTGCCGGGTCGAAAATCCGCGAACATAATCAAACCGTTACATTCGCGTGCGAGGCGCCGTTTCCGTATCATCCGGGGCCCCGGCATCGGTTGCCCGCGCACGAAAAACCCCGTACACCGTCCCGCGGCGCGCGCGATAATTCACACCGAACGCTTCCGGCGTACGCGCCGCACGCCGCCGCGATATCGACGGACGGCCGCGGAACGAAATTATCGCGGACTTTCCGGGAAAAAAAAAAAAATCCCCCGGTACAAAAACGCGCGCGTCTGGCGTAATTACTGTAAAACGTCGCGATTTCGTGCCGACGCGTACGCGTGCGTAAACGTATTGACGAAAAGACGCGCGACAATAGCAAACCGCTTGTTCGATTCGAAAACGGTCGAAACCACCGGTAGCGGTCAACCGGACGCCCGCGATCCCGGCAACGCGCGAGGCGAGGTCACCCGCGCCGAATAACACGCGATGGATCGACGATTGCACATAACTCTGGGCGATGCGAAAACACCGTAAATATTTCGACACGTTACACAGTCGTCGTCGTTGCGAACGTGCGCGTATTTCTCCCTCCCTCCCTCCCTCCCGCCGAGCGGCAAATAAGCGCGCGCGAAAAGACCCGGTATCGGGAACACGTCCGGACCGTAAAACGGACATCGGACAACGACAATAATAATGTGCACGGGTAATAAAAAACAAAACAATAAAAAAACAAAAAAAAAAAAAAAAAAAAAAAAAACTACAACACATATTGCGACGTTATCGTCGGTTACACAACGGTGCCCGTCATCATTGCGCGGGGCGAACACGGGCTGTCGCAGTAGTAGAGGCGCCCCGAACAGGCGCGTCCGACAGGCAGTTCGCGCGCGTTTCCGGTAACGTCCTCCCGTCGCGCGCGCGTGTGTGCGTGTAGGTATTTTCGGCGGGTAAATAGGAGAGAGAAAAAGACTGACTTTATAGAACACAAACAGCCATAGCCTGATATCTCTCTCCGATACATGCCCTTCCGATTCGTACACGGTGCGCGTAACGCGACGGCGGTTTCGCACATCACGTCACATGTCGTCGGGTCCTCCTCCTCCTCCTCCTCGGGCGGCGGCGTCTGGGTTCCGTCGGCCGTGCGGCGATCCGCACACGCGTCCTGTATACAATTCAATGACCGCCGCGTTGTCGCGGCGAGACGCTATGACATTACAGACGAGAAGAGGGGAAAAAAAAAAAAAAAAAAAAATAATACATTTACAATATCTGTGGAAAAGCAAAATGTAAACGCGACGATAGCGGATATTCCCGACGGCGAACACATTGTAACAGTACGAAATAACCGAGCGTGTACCGGGGCGGACCGCGCGATTGCGACGGTATAAAACGTATTGCCGATATTATATACGCGCGCGAACGGAATGCGAAACGGGGGAAAAAAAAAAAAAAAAAAAAACCGTCCGCGACTGTGTTGTACGTTGAAATTCTTCGGAGGCCGCAGAGAGAAACGCGCGCGCACGATTATCGTTTCCCCCCTTCGCGTCCGACGAACGCTTTTTTTTTTTTATTATATTTTGCCCGGCCGAGCCTACGAGCGTGCGCCGCAAAAAATAATAACCACTCTGACCTCGCGCCAATTCCCCTTCCCCTCCCCCCGCCACTCTGACCCGTCGTACGATTTTGCCTTTACGGTCATTATATTTTTATGTTTTACTTTCCCCTCTAAAAACGTTACACGCTACGGCATTCCTGATTTTCGCGCGGCGCGACGTATCTCGCGGACACGAATTCTCGCAAAAAAAAAAAAAAACTATCACTACATATTATCCGTATACACAATTTATCATTACAAGTATAAAACACAGTGTAAAAAAAAAAAAAAAGTACACAATACTTATCGTAATATATTATATAATTGTTAAAAAAAAAAAAATAATAATAATACGTCACCTGTCCCCTGTAATATACAATATTATAATACGCGCGGATATTATACTTGAACTGTGACGGTTTTCCGCCGCCAAAACTCTACAGAATCTGGGCGACGCGTCTGACACACGTCTCGTGTTTGAAATGGCGAAAGAAAAAAAAAAATAGATAATAAATCGCGCGCGAGTTTTAAAAAGTCTGAGAGAAGAAAAAAATTATTTCATAATGTCTGCGCATCGCTAGAAGTATAGCAAAAAAAAAAAAAATAATAAATAAATAAATAAATAAATATAAAACCGATCGACGAACAAGAGTGTTTTTTAAAAAAAAAGAAAAAAAAAAACCGCGACGATATTACGAATTTAATGGTTTTCTTGTTTTTCGTGAACCGACGTGACGGATTGGCGCGAAAACCGCGACCGAATGAAACGACACACGGCACGATCGAGAGAACTGAAGCGAATATCGGCCCGGTACGCCGTCGGACGGTCGCGGGCCCGGATACCGACGACGGCGACGGCGGCGGCGGCGCGCGTTATTCGCACGGACGGGCGCGCGCCAGGCGGCGGCGGCGGCGGCGGCGGCCATATTTGATTTGCTACCATTGGCCGAGCGGCCCCCCGCCGCCTGCCCGCCCACACGGAACATCGATCTCGCGGCGCGGGCCCCCTCGCGAGCCCGACCACGGCCGCCGAAGCGCCCCTCCGACCGCCGAGGAAGTTGCGCGCGCGGCGAAGGTGAAACAGTTGCGGAACGGCGGAGGAGAAGCGCGCGCGTTCCCTCGCCCCACCCCTCCCCGCGAGCGAACCGTGGACGGCAACGTCGCAACACGTACGCGTACACGACGACGGAAAAATACCTCTTTCCTTTCACTCCTTTTTCGTGAACGGCTCTCTCTCGCCCCCTCCGCCGCGCGCGTTACGATCTTGCACTCTGACGCCGCGCAAACTCCTCCGCCGCCGCCGCCGCGCGAAACTCTGACGTCTCTATGCACGTTACACACGCACCAAAGACGCTATACAAAAGTATTATTGTGCGTAATACATTATTACATTGTATTCTATCGCTCCGTCTTTCCCCGTACCCCGCTCCGCCGTTCGGACACCGTGAACGTCGCGCTGCCAACGAAAAACGCGGTTCCGAACGCGCGGGTCTGTCAAAACGTGTTTGGTAGTTCCGTAATTTTCGTCCGCTGCTACGAACGACGTCGCATCCCGCGTTGCGCGGCCGTCGTACCTGTAAAAACACGGAGAACGCGGAAAAAACCGCCAGAACGTTTCGAAAATTTCACCGAACCTCCACGTCGGTTGTTATATCATCGTTTATTGCGCGCGCGCGGCAGTTTTCGGACAATCGCCGTAAATTCTCCTACGGTTTTTTTTTTTTCTCTTTTCGGACTGTCGAGAAAACCCCTACTGCGGGGAAAACTACTGCGTGGTTCTGCGCGCGAACGCGAATCCGCCTGCCCGTCCCGCCATCGCTGTTACACACTGCCGGCGAAGCGGTACCTATCCCCCTACCATCCCCTCCCCCTGGTACAACAATTATTGTTGTGCAATCGAGTAATCCCTCTGCCGCCGTAACGCCCGGTAAGAATAAACGACGACCCGCGGGATATTGACAAATCGTCGTATCAAAAATTATAATATCCGCGATCGATCGCAATAAATACGGGCTTATGTAATTACGCGCGAAGGGGAGGAAAAAACGCCGAGATTTTTTTTTTTTTTATTCCCGAATCAACACTCGAAAAAACTCGATTATTCGGGAACTCTATTCGATCACGTTTTCCGCACGTTTTATTTACCCTAAACACGTGCCCATAATAATAATATAATATTCTTATGTCAACGAAACACGGTCAACGGGACGGACGCGATGCGTATAAGCAGAAAACCGGGGGGGAAGGCGCGGTTTTTTTTTCTTTTTTTTTCTCTACGACAGTTTTCCACTCGACACGCACGCGAAAATAAACGGAAACAATAAGAAAATCGTTGTTTTTTTTTTCTTTTTTTCCACGACGCGAAACGACCAAGTGAGTAACGACGACGCTGCAGCACACGGCGGCGCCGGGACCGTTTTTCCGCGGCCGTCCACGCGGGTAATGGTCAACATTGAAAAATCGTAAGTGGGACGGGATCGAATAATAGTCGACACCCCCCTCCCCCCCCGAAACGAAGCGTCGCGATAACAACAATGCACTACGGAGCGTTCCGCGTGGCCGCCGGACGTGTTCGACGAATCGGCGAGTCCGGTCGATAAAAACAACTGCGTGCGATTCCGATTTTTCGGGCGTTCGTTCGTTCGTTCGGGCCACCGCGCGCGAAACGCGTCCGCGGAGGACGCCGAACGCGACCCGCGGTACACACGCCGTTTCTGAACGACGACATTATCGTCCGCGACAACGGGGCACTGTCGCGGCGCGTTCCGCGTTACCGTCATAACTAACGACATTGACGAGACGATAAATCGACTGTCGCGGGGCGCGATCGAAAATGACGTCGAATATTGAACGGCGAGCGGTTCGCACGCGACGGTTTCGGGGGACGGAGCCGTTGGCCCCTCGACACGGGCGTGCGGAACATTACGACGCGCTCGTACGCTGTATACGGGCGCGCCGTCGTCGGATCCGGATTGTTATGCCGCCGTTCGAAACACGAAAACGCAAAATCGCGCGACGGCACCCGATCGTTAGTATGATGTTTATCGGCGCGAATCGATTTTCGTCGGACCGTCGGAGGAATTGTAAACGTCAATGAACGGCGTACGGTATAGTAAACACCCTCTTGTAGCGGATCGAAAAACGCCGCGGGTGGGTGGGGGGGGGAGGTCGAACGGGACGGGAAAACGAGAGGGACGCGACACACGCGATCGCCTCTTCCCCTCATTCGGTAGGCATGTGTATACAAACAATACACACACACACACACAAATTACCCGCACGCGTAGTATATTGTAAAAAAAACAAACAAACGGCGTAAACAACATAACAACAGCCGTGAGAAAACGTTCGGAAAAATCGGCCGACTCCTCTGTATACGGGGTACCCCGTGGGAAAACAATCGAATGGCGCGCGCGTAATACCCATACTTACAACAATTGACGAAAAATCGAGGTAAAATAAAAAAAAAAAAAAAAAAAAATGACAAATTGCACAATAATTGGTTTGTGTTGGACGAACATCCGTAATGTTTTCGTCGTCGTCGTCGTCGTCGCCGCTCCGCACGCGCGCGCGCGCAATCGCATCTGCGGTGTCGGACTTTCGGCCGCGGCACACGCGTCGCGTCGCACGGCAATGCGCTTGCGCCGCTGCGTCGTAAAAAAATAAATAGGAAGGAAAAAAAAAAAAAAAAAACGGTTTTCCCGTCGACATCGTTCACACGCGCCGCGCCGCGTAGTGTTTCACACGAACGCGGCGGCCGGGCGCAGGAGGAGGAAGTGGAGAAGAACAATAATTATTATTTTTATACGTGGCGCGTACGGACGGACGGACGGACGGTTTATATTGTTGTAATAATACGACAACAATACGGACGAGAGGTGTACGGCGGAGAAAACACCGGGAACGACGACGAGGAAAAAAAAAAAACGACGGAATTATTTTATTATTATCGAATTCGGTTTCGTAATGAGTATTCATGAAGGAAAAAAAAACCAACACACACACACACGCACAATAGACGAACGATAGCGTTGAGAGAGAGTGTGTGTGTGTGTGTGTGCGTGCGCGCGCGCGAGCGAGTGAAAGAGCGATCGGGAGGAGGGAGAGGTACTAACCCTAATTTTTTTTTTTTTTTATCGTTCCGTACGCACGCACAAACGCGTGTGCGCGCGCACGCAATGCGATGCAATGATAACGATTGGACGACTGACCGGCGCGCGGCATCTGGTACACGTGCCGAGGTCACTGAACTGTTGCGGGCACGTCGCGCTAGAGGTCGCCGCTGTTCCTAGCGCGCGCGGCACCGCACCGCCGGACGATGACGCCACCGGCCGCCGTCGCCACGTTGCGCGCGCGAATCGATAATTACGTGGAACGCGTAACGACGCGGGACGCGGACGTGGCGCCGCTGAGCGGTCGGCCGCGAAAACGCCGCCGCGTCCGTTTCGCGGGGACCGTGGAATTCCCGTCGACGACGCGCGACGGGACGGAAATTTGGCGGGCGCGGCCGCGGTCGCACGGGAGAAACACGAACGGCGGCGCGCGACCGTTGACCCCGAAAACGGTACTACCGATAATTAAATGATACCGAGCGCTCCGCCGGGCCGGAAGCCGATGTGACGGAGAAAAGCAACAAGTACTACACGTTTTCAATAACCGCCGCGTATTTACGCGGGAATCCTATACCTAATAGTAATTTTATATTTCTTATTTAACAAAAAAAAAAAAAATGAATAATGCGTATAAATCGACGAACATAATTTTTTATAAGAATTTCAGAAATCCGAAATTGTCCGCGGCGACTCTGCGTCGCGTAAAACGAAAATATTATTCCAACGGCAAGGTTGAAAATTACAAAAATTGAAAAAATAAAGCGCGCGTAGAACTGAATAACAGATCGTGTACAGTAGTAATAATAATAATAAAAAAAAAATTATCGGGGTCAACGGGCGCGCCGCATCGGTGACGATCGTTGAAAAAGGAGCGTTCACACGTGGATTAAAATTACGTAAATTACGCGCCAACCTGTGACTGGGCGGTTTTCCGTTGAATAAAAAAAAAAAAATTAGAAAATCGTAAAAAACCGATATGTCTGATTAAAATATTTCGCGTATATCGCTAAACAATTTGTAACAAAATGTCTACTTACGATGAGGAGGAGTGACTGCGTCTGCGATGGCCACGTTGACTGGGCGTCGTCGTCGGTCGCTTCGATACAAAATAAAATTTTTTTTTTTTTACTAGTTTTTTTTTTTTTTTACTATTATAATTTTATCGAAAAATTCTGTTACGTTTTTTTATAATATTGTACAAGCAAACGTACACGCGAAACCTTTTTTTTTTTTTTTGTTTTTCTGAAAACTATGTCATTGATGCTTCGGGCGAAATCAATCGGAAAGAAAGAAAAGTGATATTTGAAATGTTTGCGACGAAGGACGAACGGAAAACGAATAAACGACGTGCACGCGAGACGCCCAGAGAGAAAATGTAACGGTGGCGCGTCGTACGGTCATTGGCTAGACGTCGGAGCAGCGCGGACGCTCCCGTCCCGGTTCAGGCGCAGAGGCTCGTCGCCGGCAGCGACGCCCTCTGACGGTTTTCTCACGGTGTGTCCCGTACGTCAGCGTCAGTATGACCAACACAACAGCCACCGCGGTCGTTGGGAGGGAAAATATCGCGACGCGCCATGGCAAAGAAACAAATCGCGAAAATGATTGGTTCTCCTATTATATTCTCCCCGATTGAAAACGAAGACAATCGACTCGTACTCTCGCATATAGCGGACGCGATTAATATAGTACGTTAATACGTTTGGTAAACTTTTGAAACGAAATCGAATTAAACCAAATGGTGCAAGAACTATTTGGATAATGGCTGAAATTCGACGCAAGTGATCGAGTTTGCATGGTCACGTAACAATGAGGACCGAATCAATAGGTAGGTAGCAAAAATGGTACACCAAACTCCCGGCGAAAAAATGTCGATACACACCTAATTGGGAGCCCGAAACACCGATGGGTTGGAACATTTGGAACAACTAACCACAAGGAATAGACGAATTTAGTGAAGTACCTCGAGATAAAGAAAAATGGTAACAAGTTTGAACTGCAGTTATGGGCCTCAATGGCCTTAACATTTTTGGATAAACCAAGACGTGTTATTATTGTTTTTGTTTTAGTACTCGTGTAGTATTTCATCATATTATTATACATAATATCTTAAACCCTAAAGTAACCATCTCTGGTAAACATACAACAATATCCATGTTATATTTTTATTTCATTTTATTACAGGAAAGTACCTGTTACTGTCAATAAACAGTCTGATAATGATAACTGATAAATATCCACATGCAAAACAACTAAATCTTTATAACATTAGGGTTGAGTCATTATACCTGCACGGTCTGCAGTATCCCTGCTGTGATCACTCATTTGTATTTTATTCGTTAATAATAGGTATACTCTTGTAATTTTATATTCCATAATATGGTTATTGTTGTATTCATCTAAATGTCGAATTAATTTACTGGGTGATATCAATTATTACAAATTTACAAACGAATAGATAACATAGGATGACCATAGAATGTAAAAATGAAATTTAAAAAAATCAAAATGTATGTATCTCACAGCATTTCTTATAGTGCTGTGAAATATTAACCAAATGTTGGCTCAATTGTAAAGTACAGGTACATGGTTACATTTTCATTTGATTTCGAGAACCATGGACAAAATAACAGAGATAAGAGTATGAACAAATTATTAAGGTGATCATATAGATGGTGACTCCACTCTATATAGTATATAATGGATATAATATGAGTCTGTGTTTGTGTCCTTCCCCTTTATTGCTTATACATATATTTTTATTTTTTTTTTTTTAAATTATAATCGTGTAATTAGGTACAATAGATACGTAATTTTTGATCGATGACATTTTACGGTAAAGGTTATACGCGGCGTACAGGTACCTATAGGTACACCAGGAATACCATTTTTTTTTCCAAACCAATAAGTCATATGCATAGTTTTAATAAAAATTTCTAACCACTTCGGTTTATATTTTATTCAATACTTCTACAATAACGGATATATTCGTTTTAATAAGTATTAAATCGAATATTAAAGTACCTGGGTACTGCTATGATAATAGCATTCAATGACGCAATCTGCAGGATAAGGGAATCCAAACATAATAAATTATTTAATTACACTACAAAATACAAATTTTTAAATTGTATATGTACGCTTAACGTAAATGATTAATGCAATTTTCATAACGCCGCGCTGTACCGAAATGCCTTATTAATTACCACAAGCAAAAACAAAGCTGTGTTAATGATTAAGATATATTATTATAAATAGTATAATACGTGTTAAACACATTTTACAAGACCTTGTATGAATAATGGAAGTTCTTTATTTTCATAACATTTTATATTTTAAATTTTACATAAAATATTCAATATTCACAATGAAAAATCCATCCGCCGTTTTTTCAATTCTAACACAAATAGCGGTGTACCTAGGTCTTTCTTACGTGAGGAGGGGGAGTCAAATATATGTTCACCCACTCTTAAAAAAAAAATAACAGTTATAATTTTATTAATAGACACGGGAATTGGGCTTTTTTTTTGTACTTGTAAAATATAATATTGTAATGCATAAAATAAGACATTATTTTATTTAATTAAATATAATATTATAATGCATGTTATAAATGTATAATACAAAGTCTAACCTCCGGTTTTTCTTAGAAGAGAATCTTTCAATGATATCCACACTGGTATACGTATTTCCTGTAAAATATGCAATAGTGCAAGCCTGCATTAGCGATCCTGGCACATTTATTTCGTAACCATGTAAATCAATGATAAGAGACAACGTCGAACCACCGAAACGAAATGAAACTTTGACCCGATTCGACCATAGATAACAAAAATATTTTAATATCTATAATACGGATTTGACCATGTTATCACATAAACTACTTCGTGAAAAAAAAAAATTCCAAAATAATTGGTAAACATATATACGACCCAAGGGGTGGGCCCGGAATCCAACCCCTCGATTTCGTCAATATACTAGCATTGGTCTTTTCGTTTACCCGGCAGTTTTAAATATTATTTATAAGAACACATTCACAAAGAATATATAGAATAGAGATAATTATTATTAATGCGGACGAATCGCGCACGTAACTCGGTTGTCGCAAAGAGTTAGTTTTTTATTTTTTATGGAAGCAATTCGAATGCCGTTAAAAAAGAAAAAAAAGAAACGATTCGAAATAACCGAATACGGACGAGATGTCACGTTTCGATCCAAAACGCGTGTTTACCTGCGTTCAAAAAACATACGTTTTAAGAATTTCGGTGTAAGCAACGCCACTATTATAGGTATTAGTCGCATTCCTCGCTATTGTACACCACCTGCTATCCCATTACATTCCGTCAGTGGTATAATTCAGTATATTTTATTATTGTAGGTTATATCGAAATCTAAGTACACGAAATTCCTATTTAATGTAGGTACGACTGCGTATTTCACTGGTTAAACAAAAAAAAATAAAAAAAAAAAAAAAAAAACTAATAAAAATGTTTTCATCAACCATGACTCACATATTATATTATATTATAGATAATACCTATGTTTATGATAATAATTTAAGACGTAGCTGGTACCTATAAAACGTTATCGATATAAACAATGTATACAACATTATTATCTCCTTATAACATCTTAAAATCAAAGTACAATATTAAATAATATACAGGCCTAATACCCATCTACTAATTACAACACCACCTTCGTATTGTGAACGAAAACATCACTCGACTGTTACAGCAATAATAGTATCACTAAATGTCAGTGTTTCGATTTAATATTATATACTATGTAGATACAAACCTAACCTCACCTATATTGGCTATATTATACATCCTAAGAAATTATATTTTGAAACAAATAGATCAGCTGATATTTCTTATAGATAGGCCGCTATTATAGTCGGGCATGTTACAATACCATTTATACAGCGAACCAATACTGAATGCAATAACGATAAACTTAGTAGTTATTGGTGCAGTGGCGTAATTTAGGATTTCAGGATTTAGATCAATTTTTAATTTATGTTATTTTTGTAAGTATAGGTAATTATTATCATTAAATCTGTCCTAAAATTATAATTAAAATCAAATAACTATAGGTACCAATAGGTAAGTTATTACCATTAATTAATTTACTATTTAGTTAAACTGATAATCTAACTTCCCTCTTATTATTATAGTGGTTCTGACACAATTGCAGGTTAAACAAGTAAATGTACACGTTCGGAATTTTTTTTTTATTACTTATATATACGAGTGTGTAACACATTATAAATTATTGAGTTTTCTGACTAAAACGTAAAGATATTTTAAATAAAAAAAAAATAGTTTTATATTATATAAATAATAATCAATAGGGGGGATTTATAATTCATTGGTATTTATTGTTTTATATTGATGGGTAATAATTCATATTTTATAAATAGATATATCTCCCGAGTATATCAAAATGGTTAAAATAATTAAAAACGTACATTTTTATGATAAAAATGAATAAAAAATAAATCATTGGGCTAAGACAAAGAAAATAATCTTTATAATTATATGTATAATGGACACCTTTTTTATTTATATAGAAAAACTAAATTATATGTAGAGGCATAATAGAACATTATAGATTCTGAGAGGAGCGAGGAATGTATTGGTTTTACAATGATGTTTATTTTATTTAAATTTTTTTTGTAAACAATTTTTCTACGATAAATTTTGCTCCTATTTTCAAGTGTAGCACATTTGTTGAAAAGAAATTGATGTGGTATGGTACTTAAGGAAAGCTTTTTTTTTGATTTTCCAAGAGATTTTCCTAATAAATCGAAAAAACTGGAAAACTTATGAATTTATTATTTTTCAAATCGTAAATAGTACCGCCTTTCAAAACATGAAGTTTAACCGAATTTCGCATAGAATCATTTTTTCATTAACAACAATTAGTCTTTGCGTGAAAAATATATCCGTTTGTTTTTTTTGTTAAAATCTTATTACCAATATTCTACTTAATATTTTCGTGATTTTTACGAGTTTCGTCTAATTAATAATTCTTTAAACACTTAATTAAATAACATTGAGAACATAAACAACTAATTTACAACGAAGCTTGTATTAAATTTTCAAGTAGGTATATTTATACGCAATCAAAAACATTTTGCCAATAAATATAGAAAAAAAAATTCTAATACATTGAAAATATACAATAATTGTATATTTTCTTTCATCTAAACGCTTCTAAAATCAAATAAATGTTTTAGTTTTTTCATTATTATTTCAATATACTAAAAAAAAATTAAAAAAACTATAATTTAGAAACTATACCATTTGCTGTAAAACTATAATTTTCAATTATATGGAAACAGAGTAGGTATTTGTCTCGAGT